GTAAACCGCAGAAAATCCGCTTTCCGCAGTCTCGTCTGGTCTGCCGAGGGGAAACAAATATGGCGGTACGACAGTCGTACTGGAGCTGCAACGGCTCCACCTCGCAGTTACCGTATTGTACCACAAAATCAATACATCGGGTTGCTACCAACACTATCGTTTTGTCACAGCGAACGAACCGCGGCGGGCACGCACATCCACGCTTCTGTGCCGGTGAACCACCCACGCGTCGATCGGCGAGTGTCTTATCACGGCAATTGTGACAGTAAAAGGATTTACTTTGAATGAGAATCAGAAGATCGTCTGATATCCTAGTGAAATTTGTATTGCGAATCAACCCACGCTGAACACCTGAACTCCCTCGGTCGGCCACTCGCGTGCTTTCCTGTATTGTCTCAACATCACTTCTAGTCGTTTTCGATCGACGGCGAATCTTCGCGAAAGAAATGACGATCCTCTTCCCTTTGACGTCACGAAGAGCGGCTTGGGGCATAAAGAGTTGGAAGATCGATCGATTCTATTTCTTAGCGCTTGACTTACATCACTGATTCGCTGATCCAATTAAGGGGTTTGCAGGAACTGATTACACACACATACACACATATACACGCAGGAATTCTGGGAATGTCCTAATTACTGTCCCAATCTTAGATTATCAGCTGCTTTCTTCGATTGCCTCGAAATTCTCTTGAGTGTCACTATTCCAGATTGAAACGACGACGATTGACACGTGGATCACACACGTGCAGTTAATTTCGGGCGCGTCGTTAATTTAGTCGGAATTGGAAAGGATATTAAGATTATATCGCATAGATACATCACCGACTCGTCCGAGAGATATATTTGGACCCACTCGTGCGCGTATTCATGGCCATAAATAGAAACGCGGAGTCCGATATCTCCAATAATCCATCCCTTTGGCTCTTCCGTATTTCGAACTCTCTACATATATACTCTATGGAAAAATATAGCGCAAAGATATATGTTCGTACATGAATGCTCGGACGAACATTTTTGTTTGTTCATTATTAAATTGAAAGATTCTTTTATTCTTTCGATTTGTGATAATATTCAACTAGGAGTGCCACATCCAGATAGCAATGTAACGGTATTTGTCGTCAATTTTTAGTATTTATGACAAATCATGTCAGTTTGCTACCTTAATAGGATCGTTTGATAAAATGTAGATATTTGTGTAATATATACTGATATTAAAATCTTTTAAAACAAAGTTTACAAGATTTATCGTTTTGTCATATTGTTGTTGCGAAATAGGTTTATCGTGTAATTCCTGGTTATTAGATCGGATATTAGTCCAGCGTGATTTCTCTCTAAACAAATCAAATTTTATAATAAAACGTTATGCTTATACTCGTTGCTCCGCACTCATTAGTTTAAAAAAAACCAAATTACAAATGTACAATAATATACACGTATATACAATTTTTATAATCTAACGGAATCTATTTTTTAATCTAAATTTATTTATTATATTACAAATTTATTAACTTACTTAGAAATTCTATAATCACTTCTATGATCATGACCTCGTTTGTTCAATGTCGACTCCAATATATACACTTATTAGTATAAAGGTTATTCTAGTTTGTTTCTGCCAAAACAAAAAATTTAAATAGTATTGATTCGTACAAATCTAACAATTAGCAAAGACTTGACAGCATCATTTACATTCGATATGACAAAAACAAGCAATTGAGGGAGTTGGCTTGCATTTCAGTTTACTGGCTGTCGGCCAAATTTTCCGCAGGACCGCCAACGAGAGGGATGAATCAGACTGGAACTATCCCCGGCTACATCATTAAGGTCAATCTGCCTCACTATGCCAGTGTGGCACCTCGTGCCATGCCGATAAAGAGGATAGTACAATGGCGGCTCTATTATTTCTACACGATAATTCACGTTTTTATTCACAGAAAGCGTCACATGATGTACAAAGAGTAATTTTTTAAAGAGAAAATGCTGTGTACTTTATTAGAAACAATTAAAAATTCTACATTTTCACGTTACGCATTCGTGGAAATGTAAAGTTCTCTTTTTAATTAACTAATTTATAATTTCTACTTTCATTTTGTTGTCGTTTTTCAATTATGTATTTTAATATAGTCGACGATGTTCTCGATGTTTGTCTAAGAGAAAAAGTGTTAAATAATAGATGCAAAAGAGTTATAAAACAATCTCCGAATCTATTCAAATAGCATTTCCAATTTGTAGACATAATTATAATTGTTAACGAGTCTATATTTTAATATCAAGGAGTAAGATTTTTATTAATATTACATAATTAATATTTTCGGACAATTAATAAACTTAATCGAAAATAAATAGATATTGATTTTTGACAATTTTTCTATAGAACATCTTCAAGTCATCACATCTTCTTTTCTTTGTGCTGACATCTCGCTTGTCTTTTTATGAATTGAAAGCAAAATTGTGTAAATGCTTTCAATTTCTCTAACTAAATTTGAACATGAGTGAATTTGATAATCACAAATGCAAACCGTGCTCTACATTTCGCAGCCATTGCGACATTTGTGACGCGAAGTATCGAAGAGCGTACAATAAACTGCATTCACCATCTTAATGGAAGCCGCTGCGAATCAGTTGACGTCCTTCTTAAAAGCATTTACACAATTTTAGTGATGCGACTGACGCGGAGGTTACATTACTCGGTAACTGATGCTTTCTTCGTCATTAGACGGAAATTAATATTGAGACCCGTTCAACCTGATCTGAAGTCATTCGTTACGTCATTCACGATAATAATAACTCTCCGAACCATCTGGGAAAATGTAGCACCTAGGAGATAATATATTATTTATTGAAGATATATTATTTATTAATAAACAGGTACTTGAAATAAGTTTGTGTCACTAAAATCATCGATAATAGATCGAAAGCACCAAATCTCTTAAAATTTCTGCATCTTGTAACTGAAGCAAACCTTAGCAAAGGGCTTAACTTCGTTCTGTTGACTTTGTCTCTGTTCCAAATTAGACCAAAGCACTTATTGGTTTTCCTTCTTAAAGGAAAGGATATCAGCATTTGATCGTCAAATAAAAGAAAAGTGTATCTGACTATCTGACGTATAAAAAAACAGATATTGCTTTCTTTGTCCTTTATCTTCTTCAACTCTAAGACTTTTTCTAAGATATAAATCTATTTCCCAGTAAGAATATATGCAAATATTAGTTCATAAATAAATCTTGATATCGATTTAAAGAAAAAAGCACATAAGTCTGTTTTAATCAATATCTGAATGTCAAGTTAAATCTTAAATGAATAATCAAATAAGCTTCTTAGCCGAGTAGTCGCAGTTGTTCTCTAATCGAAAGGTCGCTATATCGAACCATCTCAAAATGTCTCCGTTTTAAGCATTCCACTTGATATTCCCTTAAGACGAGATTTCAAATGACGGCTATAAATATGGACCTAAGAATCCGAGATTAAAATACACAATGGTCGTAACGCTGGAACAAGGGTAATAAAAATCCCTGTTATTTCTTTTTACATACAAGACGAAATCCATAATTCCACCGCTTTCAGCTCCGACTTAATTACAACGCATTATTCTTATCTTTTCTATATATTTCTCGACCAATCCCTCGGATCGATGGTAGAATAGTCTCTCAAGGGTGCTGTATTGCATTGAATAAATAATAAGAAATAGGGTAAAAAGTATAGGAAAGATGGAAACAACAATATCAGAAACAAAAATCATTCAGATAATTTTAATGCTATACAAAAAAAATGCTGTAAAAAAAAAGTATATAAAATTACATAAATAATATGTATAAAAATTACACAATTTATAATGGAAATATATGAAATTATGCATTTTTACAAAAATTAGTATTTTTATCTTTAATTGTGTAAATATATTTTTGTATAAGATGGAAAATTATACAACAATAACAAAAATATATTTTATAGTTTTCTATGTAAATGTACAAATTTGTGTAATATTACATATATGTATATATGTAATTGTATTATATATGTATATATATATGTGTGTAAAATACAGCTTAAGGAAACGTAATTTGTTGACGAATTAATACTCAACTACTATTTCTATATATTTAACTCCAATTATAAATTTTTACTTTTGCTAATTATTTAACCTATGACTTTATTTTACGTGTGTAAATATCCACTTTTAAAAGTAAGTACCAAAATTATCTTACAATTGTTATAATTTTACGTGTAATTCTTTATACAGGATAATCTGTAAAATTGTTTTATAAAAGAAAAAAAAATGCATTTTTTCCTTGCATGTCTTTCCCATTAAAAGATATAATCTTTAAAAACGGACATATAATTTTTAAAATTCCATTATGTTAAATGCCATGCTATTTTTAATGATAAATATAAATTATACAGTACGTTACACGTTTGAAAAATTTGTATATTTCTCTAGGAAAAAGGAGCTCCGAATCTCTTTATAATATTTTAGATCAACTTTAGCATTTCTGCCTTTTCCTCTGTGTGATTAAAGGTTATAAAAAGTTTCGAAAGAAAAAAAATGAAATTTTATTAGAGAAAAAAATAAGACGATGGGGAAAGAAAGCTTTGATATCACATATTCGTGACAGAGTTACGATGTAAATCGTTGAACAGCGTGCCGTCTGACAAGACAGCAGCAGCAATAAATTGTACTGCGGGAATAATCGTGGGAGAAAGCGCGAGGGGCGCCTTCGAAGAAGAGGGAACGCAAGGTGATCAGGGGTAGCCCCGGACGACGGCGATGCTTCGCGCCGTCGTCGGCCTCGTCGTCGTCGACGATAGTAGTGGCGGTCGATGCTACGAGGTACCGTCGTTGGCGCTGGTATCGCTAGAAAATAAGCTCGCCCGAAAGCTCCACCGACTGCAGTAGCCCGGCATCCGTCGGCGCCGCGGCCAGGACGAAAGATTTATACGCACGCGAACTTCGTTCTATCATACAAGTAGGAAGTCTGCCGATGAAAGCTCATCGCTGAAAACGCACGCTATGCGGACTTCGACGTGATCTACGAATTTCGGAACGGTATATCGTTTCTTTATCTTTCTCACCCTTTTTCTCTTTCATCCCTTACGTCCTTCTTCTCTTTATTCGCGCCCCCGATTTAATCATCCCTTCGGCCAGGGCGTCGTGACGAAAGCTGTGATTCGCGTATCGCGGGGACAAATGTGCACGGTGGACAGCAGTGTGACATAGTGCGCGGAAGGTAGGAGACGAAGAGATCGGCAGGTGGGCAGAGGAGCGAGGAACGCGGAAAGAGGAGGAGCAGAAGGTGGATGACGATGATGAGGGGGCACAGGAAGAGGGCGCCGAGCCCTGATGCATTCGCATCTTCTACATAGGGGGTACCGTTACGTCGACCCCAATAACGAAAGAAGACTGATCGAGTTTTCTTTGCGTGACTCACTCCGATTGAGATTCTTTGCGGGTTGAAACCGCTTGAGATCCAGCAACGAGGCGCTTTGAAATGTAACGCCGAAAATATTGCTAATTGTCGCAGATCTCGTAAAGGGGGAGGTTTAAATTTTCGCGAGCTGATAAAATCTATTCGCGAATAAACCATTAATTATTAAGATCATTATGTAAAAATAACACATTGTTTTGGATGGAAGTTTGCATTATGAAGAAAAGCTTTTAAAAACACGGTTACATTTAAGAAATTTATTTAAGTTTTATATTTGGAATATACAATTTTCATTGACTATTTTCTTAGGGTTTTAAATGATTTAAATGATGTTCTAAAATTAGATTTAAATGATGTTCTAAAATTAGATTTAAATGATGTTCTAAAATTAGATTTAAATGATGTTCTAAAATTAGATTTAAATGATGTTCTAAAATTATTGTGGTGCAAAATTATTTCTTTTCTTCCATTTTATTTTATAAGAGTAAATAATAATTGTGGCAGTAAATGTTACTTTTGACATAAATCTTGAAAAGTGTATGCGTGAAAAAAGTAATAAAGAATTACGTAAATAGATTTAACTGTCACTAATAAAATACATGATATAGAATATCTTATAAAGAAGTTATAAAGAAGTTACGTACATATTATTTTTTTACATTTACGATTATAATTATTTTAAATTAGTGATTGCAGCAAAATTCAAGAATATGATATTGCTTTCACACCATCTTTTGTAGAAACTGTTAACAACTTTAAAGTAACCGTGACTTTTATTGTCTATCCCCTATGCTATAAAAATTATATTAGACAAAGGAAAGGTTAGATAGGCTTGCAATAGAAACACGCTATACAATAAGATATATAACCTACTACATAAATTTTGCGTTAAAAGCAAACTTAGGAAAAGTTATTACTAGCATTTTTTGTGCATGTCATAAAAAATTAAAAAAAATATATGTATATATTTATATTTATACATATATAAATTTATATATTCGAGTAAAGGAATTATTAGATCTTATAGTTACATATCGCAAATTGGCAATTAAATTAAAAATTCAATAAACAATAGAAATTAAGCATTATTTTTTATAGATAAATAACAGATTATTTTCAGTAACGTAAAAAATTTTATTTTATCTTTTTTAATCAATTTATTGCGATATATAAAACGCTTTTTTAGTAGGATATAAATAATTTTTTACTTACATTAATTAATTTTTTTAACATAAAGGGTGTGTGAGCATAGATAAATGATTACTTTTAAACACGAAGGACACGATATAAAGTCTCTTTAATCTCTTCGCGATTAAGTCTCCACGTGTACTCACATAAACTCCTTAAAACTCCGCATAAGTTTTATCTTTATCGACTCTCGTACAATGTGTAATCCATATAAATAAAATCCAATAACGTATAGGGCAATATTTTGGAACTGAAAGTCGGGATCAATCATCATTCTGAGAACGATCGTTTCATTTCTGTTTAGGAACATCAGAAATTTTCGGCAAAAAAGTTCACGAATTGCCTTTTGATGAGAAACTTGAGGGGCTAACTTAACTTGGTGATGAAAAAACTTCAAATATTATAATAAACATAGATTTCGTATTTCTCTTTTTAATCCTCATTACAAATTTTACAAATATAAAAATCGGATAAAATATATTAATCAAATTTAATAATAAAACATAATAGATAAAATATTTATTACGAAACCAAAATATCTTCTTTGTAACAAGAATTCCTCGAAGAATTCGATGAAAACCGAGTTATACGATGTTAATAGGTATTGTCCGTCTCATTTATCTATAACGAGAATCGAACGATCTCGTCATTGTGCCGAAAGCCGATAGTGCCGTAGACCAAGTTGGGAACACGTAATTGTCTGACACTTTGCTTCCTGCAATAACCTATGTCAATTTACGTTGAAATTAAAAGTATTCTATGAAATCGTTACACTGTGAGAAATTAAAATCATGAATTCCATAATGCTTAGTTTTATTATTTTTATTTTAAATAAAATGGAACTTTAGAGCATTTAAGAGCTAGATAAAATATTGTTAATTTTTTATGAAGAAGAAAAAGATTACTGCAATCTATGAATATGATAAAAAAATATTAGATTCATCGCCGATAGGTGTATTGATTTCACCTATCTTTACTGCCATTTACTGGCCCTATACACATGCCCCTAGTTTGCCAAAGGATAAAATAGATTGTGAACCAACATCATACAACCTCTAGATAATATAAAAAATTATACTCTTTCATCATTCGACCGAATGTACGTCGCAAAAGAAGATAAAAAAGTCATTTAATCGATACATCGCTTTAGGGCGATTAAGATAAATGGTGCTCGTTACACAAATGCGTACGAAAGAACCTTATATTTAACGGAAGTATTTCAGCTCTTACTGTAATCCCCGGGAATCTTCATAAAAGATGAAATCATCTCCCGGAGGGTGATTCCGTGACTCCGGTCTTTCGGAGCGCGCGCATAAAGAAAACTCGACTCGCGATTCTAGATGGAACAGAGGACAAATACCCACAAATTGTCTGTAGATCGTTCCGTCTCTTCGACGTCCGACGTCTGACGACGAGCAGCAAGCACGCCGAGGACGACGACGACGACGACGACGACGACGACGACGACGACGACGACGACGACGACAACAACGACGGCGACGACGGCGACGACGTCGCTTAGGAGTATCCAGCACGAAACCAGCACTGCCGTTTGTTCTCCGAGATGGCGGACGAAAAGGAGAAGCAGACGTTTTTGCAGAAGCTGCTGTTTTACACGACCGCGTTCTTCATCCTCCTCAGCACCTTCAGCCTCTTCGCCTTCCTCTTCTTGGTCCCCTTCGTTATTGACCCCGCCTTCACCACCATCTTCATGCAGTTCGAAACTCGACCCGCCGAGTGTGTCACCATTGATGTTGAATCCAGAAGAGGTGAAAAATCGGCACCTTATCTCATCTGTTCGCTCTCCTTGTCGCTCCTCGTTGCATGCTGTGTACTATGAATTTCTCTATTCTTCGCTCTTCTGAGGTTCTTCCTTCGCGCGCAATTAAGTCCTTTATGTTTCTCTGTTTCTATGTCCAAGCATGTGTGTTTGTTGGTATAAATGTACATTTCATTTTGCGCTTGTATGTATGTGATGAAAGATATCTTTTAAAGTTGCAGAAAGAATCGCGTTTAAAATATATTTATGTTTGTTTCTACCAATGTAGTTTAACTTTAATCTCGCTTCAATTAACTCTTCATCTTGTTATAGTTCTAAGAATTAGAAATAAAAAATGAAGAGTAAGATGAACTGAGATTCAAGTTAATATATATGTACATACATATATTGAAAACGAGCATTAATTTCATTATAAAAGAGACATATTATAAATGTTGTAAAACAAAAAAATTGTTTACGGCACCATAAAAAAGCAAAGTTTTAAAAAAAAAAATTAGAAATAATATATTATTATATTTTACAAAAGTGACCAAAAGTGACAGACAATGATAAACGAACATCAAGAACTGACGTAAATTATCATTTACGAAAATAGGTCAGCATCAAAATACGAGTTTTATGAATGATTGGAAAGACTATTTCCAGACCAAACAAAAAGTGACGAAGAACGTCCGTTACAGGACAGCTGACATTTTCCGCGTTTAATTTAATATTTATTATATTATGATTTATTTAGTTGGCATAAAATAGCAATCCACCTTTTATTAGTGAAGGAAAATTAGCACATGGATAATAATTATGAAAGTAATCGTGCTTTCATTGTAATAGCAAACGTCAAAGAATGTCATTCCATCACAATTGCTTCATCTTCTTTTGCCACCTGGGAAATTCCAAATTCTTTCCTAACTCGTTCTGGATCACGATAAATTCTACGGAGATTGTAACAAAAAACTTATGAATGTTTTATTCCCCAATGACATGTATTTACCTTTCCTCATGTCGAATCATCCATTTCACATATGTAAAAATATGTAACATAAAAGTTTAATACTATCCTATAAATTTTTATTTGTTATTAGACAAATACCAAAATATACCAAAGTCATATATAAATACATTCAAAAAACAGGGAATATAACGTTTCTTTATATAATATATGCACGCAATATTAGTAGTCTATTGGAACTTGATTTTTTTTTTCAAATAAAATCAGAAAGAGAGAGAGAGAGAGAGAGAGAGAGAGAGAGAGAGAAAGAGAGAGAGGAAGAAAGAATTAGCAAAAGAATCAGCGAATTATCGTTAAATAATATTTGCGGGATTAATTTATAAACAAAAAATATAAAGATATGAGAAAAACTCGATCATGATTAGTCACAAGGGAGACCGCGACGAGTTGTGACAAGATTGACGCAACTGGTGTCTTTGTGCTCTTGGTACCCCCGGCTTATACTCATTCGAGTCTCCTCGTTTCTCCTTCATCACTTGAATTTTCTTCTCTTCACGGCCGTCAATAGGGTGCAGGTGTTCTTCACGATTGAGCACCGGCCTCGTGTCAACAATTCCATGCAACTTACGTCATACAAAACACTTTTTCTGACGGTTCAATTTCCAACAGTCTCTCCTTTCGTCGTAATCGCCTTTGGTGTATGCACGTTTCCTGTATTTATTTCATACGGTGGTTTATTCTTTCGCATTATGTATGCCTTTTTGTGTCGCGTTGACCGTGTATCTGAATGGCGACTGTGATATTTTTTCATTTAAATGTCACGTCGGACGGCGGATGATGATTTTTTTCAGAAACTGAAATAAATTAACGATTCATAAATTCTTCAATGAATTATGTATAATTCAGAATAATGCTTGTTGAATCGCAGTTGCGAGCTTTAAGCTTCAGCCTAATAAATTTTCATAAAGAATTATCCCTGCGCTGTCTTCATGTAATCATCATCCTTTTAATCTGCTATCTCACGCTTTCATTCATTCTAACGATTTAGTGTATGTACGATTGTATGTATGTAAATGTGTATTCGGATGTCCTTCATTCTTCAGTTATTTATTCACGCGCGAATGTTCTGTATGTTGTGCTTGGATTATATTTCGCGGCCGCGCAAATTTCCATAAATGATCGTTGAGTCCAGGTACGAGCAATTGCTCATGGACATCCTGTAGAGAGGGTTGTACTAAGGAACTGTACGATTGCACGCAAATACGCGTCAATTATAAACTACCGGATAACACGTCCGATGGGGCGGACGGGGAAGGCAGAGCGGTAGGAGGTGTCGAGGATGACGAAGAGAACAAACAGATGCCTCGTTATGAGCGTTCCTTAAACGAGTACATCGAGGACCTCGACGAGAATTTTGCTATGGATGATGAGAACGGACTGCCGAAATCTTTCCCTACAGGTACAAAGTAATATCACTGAGGGATTTACATTTAATCCTATCTCAATCACCTAAATCTGTTCCATTCATATTTGTTTTTTGAAAGAGCGTAATTATTGTAAGCAAAAGGAAGAGCTTGTTATTTATTCGTGTAATTGGTATTGCACATATACATCAGAAACGTTTGTAATTTGACATGGGAAATATGAAATTATAAAATCCCTTTCCGTTATCCAGTTAAACAGCCAACAGAAATAATAGGAATGTTGGAATAAAAGCGATATTTCAAAACAACTGATGATCGTTACTTTTTCATAATTACATTATTAATAAGTACTTTTATCCTATTTTACGATTTTATAATCATTATTAATTAAAAAATTTTTATTGTGATGAATTATTTCGGTTAACTAACGTGTAAAAATTGCTAGAAACAGGCGCGGTTTAACGAAGCCAATAGAGAACTAAAACTGTTGTGGCATTCGCCGACTCGCGGAAGAGATAAGTTTTCTCCGGTAAAACTTCAGCGATTCATCGCTGAATATGAAAGCGTACTGTATATATAAAAGTCATTATACGTGCTCTTTGTCTCCGTCCGGTTTGTTCTTCCGGTTGTCTTGCTGAAAAGTATCCCCGTCGCCGAACAATAACGAGGGGAAGTTCGCAGGTCTCATGGGCAACGACTCCGTGTGGTACTTCACCGGGGCCAAGCTGTTCCCCAACGTAAAAGGCTGTGGATACCCTCCAATGCTGAATTGCAGTATTTTCTACCGGCAGTACGCCAACATAGGGCAGAACTTTAGCTGTTACTACTCGAAAGTGGATCCCGGGATAGTCATCAGCGACCTCGACATGTGGCAGGTCTCTGACGTTATTGTATATTTTCCACGTGTGGACTTTCTTATCGTGTCTATTTTCAACCCTAAATCCAGGATGTACAAATTCCTTCGCAACGCGATGGCATCCGTCTAGACTAGAGTGGCTTTAGCCTCCGTATTATAATCCGGTGACCGGGTTATAGTTAGCGATTTACCCCGTATGTCGGTATGTGCGAATCATGCAAAAGTGCTGATATGACTTTTGCCCGAGTTTACACTGGGACGAGCCGCGCACTTGAGAATCAATACTGCGGCTGCCTATCGGGAGTACAGAGTGTAATATACGACCGAAACTGTTTCGTATGAAATGATTAAACGGATCACGGTAATGAATTCCTGCGGAATCGGTTGAAACACGGCGTTACTCTCCCGAGAGTTATTCTCTTGATTGTCACTTTAATCCAGGAATAATCCGAGGTATTTTTACACCTCAGTGGCGAAAAAAATGTGAATTGTTGTAAAACACGAACTTGTATATTTTTTAAATAACTATTCTTTACAAATCTTTAAATGTGCAATTCTATTAAGAAAACTGCAACAAAAATGCATTATATTAATTAAAATTTTTATTTTTTAGAAACACTGTCATAATAAATTATTTAACATACTTATTCCGTTTAATTCCTACTTACCTTTTTCAAAAATTGTGATTAAATCTATAAGATTTTCAAATACTAATGAATCGAAAAATAATCGATAATATATAATGGGCTATTATAATTAATAGCTGTTAATCATAATCGACATTCGCTCTAAAATTTCTTTAACTGATGTTCACGAATCTGTTGCATTTTAAATTAATATTAAATTAATGTTAAATTAATGTTTCTTAAAGTTAACGTAATTGATTTTTCCTTTATTTGAAAGGTCAAAATTGGAGGAATAAGATTGTATTATTTAAAATTATATAAAGTTGTGAAAAATATTTGTTATAAGCTATTTTTTACAAGTTGCAGTTAAAGAAAAAATCCGGATCTATATATACTAAATCCGCAGATTAAAATCAAATAGAACAATTACAATAAATCGTAAATGATTAAAAAGTGACTTTTAATGATCATTTTTTAATCATTTTTCAACGTCGTTTAATACCATAATAATATGTTCTGATTGGGGGATTAATAATAATGATTTTATATAATTGGAAGTATAAAAACCCAAGATAATTGTTTACGTAAAAATACAGGTGACTATTCCCAGATCAATCATAATTTTTTTTATGCTAAGAGCGAGATATTCATAATCTGTTCTTATTTCAAGACGGTCTTAAGAAGCGCTCTCTGATTGGTTCATAACTTCTTAAGACTATACTTAAGACAGTCTTAAATATAAGATCTGATTATGAATACCGGCCTAAGGCTCGTTTATTTCTATTCAAGATTTATCTCTTTATTGATCTTTCACCTATCGTATTGAGAGCGATGTAATTTTCGTTGAATTTAAATGCATGATTTCCATATTTTTTGAAACAATCGGCAAAAAAAATTGTTGTATTTGCACGTATCTTCCGTATTTGCAAATTTAATTCAATGAAACTACATGTAAAAGATGGCAAGTGATAAGAAAGCGGAAGAGAGGTTTTTCGAGCGTGGGGCACGACGAAATAGCGTTAACGGTGACGGAAATGCGACCATTTACAAGGAACGGACAATGCATTTCAAGCGGTTGAATAGGCGGCCGATGACAAAGACGGAAGCCATCGCGGCGTGCGATGCGCCGCTCGGAAGAAAAGAAAATTTCTCCCGGCGCGCAGAAATCCAATTTCCACAAGTGTGCGGCCGGCGTGCTATTATAAACCGCCGATAACATCGGCGTTCCCGGAAAAGCTCGCCGCTGTACTCTCGATGCTGCACGAGTGCCAATCCTTCGAACGAATGGATGACAGGAAGAAATAGGATCACGTGGCGCGAATAACACGACTTTCTCAGGGATATTCTTCCGCCGAATTTATATTTAGAAAAGTCATTTTGCAGGGGGGGAGGGGGTCAACTCGGCCCTATCTTAGCAGTGATATTTTCATAATGATCGTGTAACGTTTTTTACAATTTATTCTTACAAATTAAATGGAGAATACAATTAAGTAAAGAAACCATATTTTAGGTCAAGATAGGTCTTGGGGAGAGCGGGAGGGGGTGTACCTAATAATATTTTTTAATTTTACAATTTCTAATTTTTAAACCTTCGTTGCATATAATGAAATATACTTATCTCTTCAAATTTTTTTTGTTTTTACACGTATTTAATAATTGATTTGTATAAGCTTGGTATGATTACCAAGTCCCTAAGACTTATATATGTACATGAATAAATATGTAATGATTTTGCATTAACAATATAAGTTATAAACAAAAGATGAGTCAAATTTGACAATTTAAAAAAAAATGCAAGTTAGAAAGTGCAATGAAAATAATCTTGAAAATTTCTAATTATTAATGTTTTTGAAATCATTAATTTCAAATTTGCACTCATAAATTGTAAAATTTTAAATGACAGATCTAATAATATGATAATCAAGAAAAATATTGAATTCTGTAATTTTAATGAAACTTTATGTACACATGATAAGAATTTAGAAATTATTGAGACAAAAAAACAGTTTTAAAGAGTGATATTGCTCCTTTAGAAACAGATTTTTCTTCTTTTTTAAATTATATCTTGAGAATTATTAGAGATATAAAAAAATTTTTATGAAAGTTGTAATAAAAACATCATTATTTTATTACGTCAATAACATTTTGAAGAATAATTATTTTTCTTTTTCAATTTGACTGCTATTGAATTCAGTAAAATAAGTACAATAGAAAAATTTGTGAAACAAAAGCCGGATTAAGCAAACTGCACGCTGATTATTTATTTACTCTTGAAATACAAAAAACTCTAAACTGAAACTGATTTCTGTAATATTATATAAATAAAATTGATGAGTAATTTAATATTACTAATACTAAGCATCTTTAAAACATTTTTAAAAGCATCTTCAAAATAAAGAATTTATCTCGAGCCGGAATTCAAGCCTGAATCTCCCTCATTCCGTGCGGATGTCTTACCAATTCGACTACCAAAGCATATGGTATAATAATAATAATAATGATAATAACGACAACAATAACAATAATAATGATGACGATAATAATAATAATAATAATAAGCAATTGTTTAAACTAGAAATTGTAAAATTCATAAAAAAATATTATTAGGTACCAAGATTCATCTTGGTTTTCTTTGAATGGTTTAATTTGAACATGTCTCAGTCGATTTTTACTTAATATTGTTTAATTGAAAAATAACGTTTAGTTACTTTTCAATACAAATATCTCTATCAAACTAATTATACTGCTATCATTTGTCAAATTATATACAATCTCACTATTCTTGCCATTATTTGTCGCATTATTATTCAGAAGTAATATTTATTTACCGATATATTTCTGAAATTTGTATCAATTAATTTTTTTCGTAATCAATTACTTTCGTAATCAATACTAGTGAGTAATTGATTACAAAATATTTGCAATTAAGTTAATCTTTTAGTCAAAATTCGTTCGTGGGATTTTTTTCACAAAACTTTATTGATTTGTGGATAAAAGAACTCTGGATGTGCATTAATTTCCGCCAAGTTCTAGTCACATGTTTAAAACGCTTCCTCAGGTGTATATGAATCTTGTGTACGCGATGGCGATTCCGATACCGTCTTTCATAATCTCGGTGATATACCTCACCATCGCCTACTTCAAGATCTACAACGAAGACGAGGTAGTCCTCGTAGGTGGTGAAGAGGGTGAGGAAGGGGAAGAAGGGGAAGGCGCCGATACACCCTTGCCACCTACTAGTGGTGCATTGACGCCCGGAAGTGAAGCCTTCAGGGAAGATTTGGCGAGCTTCGGGCACCAACTCAAGGTCGCAATGGCCGACGACATCAGCAGGGAAAGTCTTGACGGAATTCCTAACTCGCTCTCCGTTCAGGGGTAAGCACCATTTCGAAAATCTCATGATATCGATTGAATTTGGGAATGGGTCAACATAAAGAGGCTGTTCAGATTCGCTATCTTACTTGTTGATTACCTGTCGTTCACTTTTAAGCATCTTCGTAGATCTTCTAAGGTTTCGAAAAGATTTTCTAATTATAAGAATCAATAGGTATTATTGCTTTAACCACAATCGTCGACGACTTAAGAGTTATTTTCTAAAAATAATAATCCTGTTTGAGCTCCGGAAAAGTTACCACGGCGTGTTCTTCCTTCCGTATAAATGTATCTGTAAAATATATATAAAATGAGTAATGTGAAAAATAAATAAACTTTCAGAGGCACAATTTAGAATAAAACGGAACTCTCTTCTCGTTCGTTTACCTATCTCTGCTTCGTAATCACAGATAGGTATTTATGTTGTGAGAGCTAACTTCCTCCGTCTAAGTGCTTAACTCAGATGCAATAATTTTACGCCAGACATAAAGTCATTTGAATGAACGACTCGCTATAGAGATAGTGCACTGAATGTATAAATGTCGTTCCACAGTCTGCATGTTCAAGTATAACGTTACCATACTAGTATTCAGTCAATTTCCTTCGTGGTTTGCGGTGTACCGAAGGTGTTCGATAATCTACCTGAACAAGCGTCCCTTTGTTCTATATAAAATTGATCGGTTGTGAGCAATCGAATTGGCGTGACAAGTTGTTCACAAACAATTCGAAATATTTATATATCTATCCAACTGTCAATTACGGAAACGCATCATTTAACAATAAGGTCGGTAAATTTTACGAATATTGACGTTCTGAGGACATTGTACGTAAAGACGTTCGCTGGAACGTACACCTCTCAAGTAACAAATAAGCAATCAATACAATGACCATTTTATTTGCCACGTAAATGGTAGAAGTAATACTTCAACTCCCATGTATACATTGTTTCATGCTAAAATAAATACAGCTCGAAAAGATGTTAAATATATTGTACGTAAAAATATGTCAGATTACGTATATTCTTAATAACAATTTGGTCTCGTGATAGTCGTAATTGAAGTATGTTATTCCGGCACGACTTTAATTGAGATTAAGGATGTATTATTTTAATATATTTTATTTTTAGTAAAAATGAAAAATTATTAAAAAATGACCGATTTTTCTATATCATATTTATGAAAGAAAAATAAACAATTTTGCAATGATTTAAAATCTGAATAAAAAATAATTTCAATAAGAAGTAGAGAGACATGTTTTTAAAAATAATTAATTAACTGCCACACTACGGGAACAATACTTATTTAAATATAGCAAGCCCAACCCAAATCAATATTGCTTATAACTTTCATAAAAATAAATATATTATAAATAATTTTTTTTAATCAAAATGCCAGACATTAAAGAATATAACAATATCAAGCAAATGCATTGTTTTATTAATAAAAATAGTATAAGCAATAATAAACAAAATATTAAAAAAGAATTGAAAAGTAAGCTATATCGAAGAGATATTTAAGATAAAATGAGAAAAATTTTATTTAAACTATAAAATTGTATTGTTAGATAAAAATATTGACCTTGTTGAACAGTTTTATATGCATATAACCAGAGTTGGCAAAGTTACTTTATGAAAGTAACTCGTTACCGTTACTGATTTATAAAAGGTACCTCGTTAACGTTATTCAAAAACTAACGAGTCGTTACTATTTTCGTTACTTTTTTCTTGAAATTAATAGAATCTAGACATTAATAGAATATTATTTTATGTATAAATTTTTGTGGTAAATATAAATAGAAAATGTCATAAGTTATTTATTATAGGAAAAAGGCTTACCTAATAATGTATATTAAAAAATTGAGATTTGGGTCACTATTTTATAATACATTTCCATTAGAGCACAAATATTTAAAAAATGTTTTTTAATGCTATTTCTTATTGAATAACTTTTGTTAGATGATTACTTTTGTTGGAAAAAAGTAATGATACAAGTAGATAACACATTTTTATATACTTGGAAAGTACAAATTTTCAATTCCATTCACTTTTTGCAGAAACCTGTACATCTTTAATCATAATAATAATTAATTGCGGATTCTAAATGACCGATCTGCAGAACCATTAAAGAAATGCATCGATATATACTGTGGATATATCTTCCAATAATATTAGATAATCGAAGAAAATTCCGAATTATATAACAATCAGATTTTCGACAGAATACAACATGTGCGTGATCGAATATCGCTTTCGTGACCGTAGAACAGACATAGGATATATTTGCGGAAGATAAATTGATCCACGAATTCAACAGAATGTTCCTGAATCGCTACAGAAATAATACGCGACACGGGCGATATGGAAATCTCGTCTCTTCTCGACTTCTTGCAGTAACGTTTTCAGTTTAATTCGCGATTAACTCCATAAGAATAATTTGTTCTTGAAACGCTATCGACGTAATAAAATGATGGCACAGAAAGTGCTCTCGACCAGACTACCGGCGCATCTATCTATAAATAGCGACTCGGGATGCAGGACGATATAGGTCGAACGACTGCGCGATAGACTGCGAGTCGCCACTTCTCCCACCATCATTCAGCAGCATATATACAGAGTATATAATCTATCTAAAGTATCCCTGATTTCATCCATGCCGTTCAAAAGGCTAGCTGCGACAGAAGCAACGATCAAACACCCCTATTTCCTCATGTCTCATCTTTCAAGCGGAAATTTTCGCAAGTACCGTTGTACGATGACAGCGAATTTGTTTTCGTAATATTTCTACACAAAAGTGTACTTTTCTAACATTTCTCAAGAAAAAGTCATAAACGATCACTGCAACATGTATATGATGTGAAGATAATAAATCGGCAAACATTTTTAAGCAAACAATAAACGAGCGTGTTCCATATTCGTAAATAATCCATTTTGCTCTTGAAAAGGACTACACGCGCGATAATGTTTGACCCGTTATATTTGTCAAGAAGATGTAGTAGCAAGTATTCTTCACGCAAAGCTACTTATACTACTTCGCCCTAATTTATTCTGTCATCTGCCAGCGTGAGAAAACGAGAGAGAATTATAATTATTCCGTGAATTGGAAAGTAGATGAAGAGAATAACTTTTTGAAACTCCTACTTTCCGAAAAAACTTATTCAACAAAAACTTTCTAAACTTTCTATGAAGATATATTAAATTCACAAATCTTTTCTACTTTCAATATATCAAAATCATTTCGCATTCACAATCGAGATTAAATAATCTTTTCATCCCTCTTCTGAAAAGTCTACAATAATTACAAAAATCTTTAAGTTAGCATATATTACTATAAAAAAATAAATTATGCATTACTATAAAAAATTAAATTTGACATTATTAGAGAAAAGATATTAAACCTTGTGAATAAGATTTTTTAATACCTGAACTGATTTCAACCCCTACAGCACGAAGTTGCACAAAAGTTGCAGCAACATTACATGTTGTAGCGATATTGCAGAGATTTTGCAGCGATATTGCTGCAAATTCTATGCTGTTTGGGAATGATTGAGATTTCATTGCTTCGCGAAATGTGTTACACACAGCCAATACCCAACATAGCAAATTACTTTGTTTAATTCACCTACTTTTCCTGAGTGTATATGCTCGACGCATGCACGTTTCCGTGCGGCACGAGTTCGCACATGTGCTTATGATCAATCGCGAGTTAACCTCCCACGCAAATGTGGACCTGCGATTTTGACGTTGATGCGGAATGCGTGAGAGAGGCTGAGATCAAGCAAGGACGCGAGCATCGATTCTGACCCAACAACCATCCAAGCCCCGCCTAACTCACCCCTTGCTTTCTCAGCCCTCCTATAGCCTCCAGCGACAACCCCCGCGAGCTCGCCTACCTTGTCGAATTCTCGCGGTGGTCTATTCGCGAATACTGCACGAGTTTGTAGAAACCGAGGTATTAGGGTCGTTCACGCTCTATTTACATAGATGGGCAAGTTTGGAATATCAACGAGACTTCGAATTTACGAATTGAATATGTCGAGGGTGAACTGAGTCAAGAGATACACGATGAAACTAAACCGATATTTCTAATTTTGAAAAGACAACATACTGTAACGTTGTAATTATAAATGCACAGATTAAAGATATATTATTGTATGAATTATTTTTTAAATATAAATGAGAAAAGCAGATTTTCTTAAAAGTTTAAAGATGATTGCGTTCGTGTTACATATAATCTCTCACTATAATATAACTAAATTAACTAATAATTAAATTTAACTCGTAAATAAGTTCGATAAATAAGCTCTGCAACTTCAAACAGCGAATCGAAATAAATAAACCCGAGATGATATTCCTTATAAAGAAAATATTAAAAGAAAAGTTTCACGTTTGTGTTTACCTTTCAGAAACTTGAACAAAACGATGACGACGAGTATCTCAACTCCCCCTGGGCCGACGGCAGCAGTTTGAAGCGACATTTTCAAGGTTTGAATAATATCTCGTGGAGACCACATTAGGCGATAATTCATCGCCGTCCGTAAAGAAGCAAAGGCGTTGGCCGAAGAAGCTTCCTTGATCAAGGAAGAACGAAGAAGAGGAGCCAAGTTATCTTTCTGTCTCAGGATCGACTAAAATCCACCCTCGCGATTCACGGAGTGAACCAGAGGCAAACTCGGTACTTTCTCGAGACACACGAATCGTACGCGATTACACGGCGATTCAAGGAAACTTTTGACGAATCTGCCATTTCTCTATTGTAAAAATCTGTCCCCATTACAAGCGCCGACTATACTTGCAGTCACGATATTTCGCGACGTACTTTTTCCTACTCGATAATAGCTCAATAACGCGAAGTCGTGCGTATAACTCTGTCGCAACTCATGCCAGAGAGGCAGCAGTCCCTCTCAAACGCGGTATCTTCAGTGCGATGCTCGTATGCGCCAGAAAAGTTCTTCATTTCTTGCAAATGTTTAAACGTTGGCGGCGCAGTCGTTATACCGCCCGCCAAAATTGATTTACCTCGCACGATGCCTTCTTCGTAGCTTGTCTAAGTACGATTCGCGATCCGAAATCAATTCGCGAATCCCGTGCCTGTATATCGCATCCTTGTAAACACGAAGAATCTGTCCTTACTGTCGTATACGTAGCGTTCGGGATACACCGTATATTTTTAAACGATTTTCCACGATGTATCCGCTATGGTAGATAATCGTTTTGCGTAAAGAGAAAATTAATCGGTCGCTTTGAAAATGGCGGAAGTCTAAAAAAAAAAAAAGAATTAAAGTCTGCACTATTCTCGAATTATAGAAAAATGTGTAATGATTAAGTTACAAATTTATATGTAAATTTTCAACGGCGGATTATAAATCTGCCTGTGCCAGCCGTAAATTTTTGGAATGTACGTCTCCATCCATGCGGCACCAAGTTGCGGACTTTAAAGAAGCTTATTTTTACGTAAGCGATAAATGTTTTCTGTCTCTATCGCATCTCTCTTTCTCTCTCTATGCCCATTAACTGATCGAATCTCAAAGTTACTGGACTCATGTCATTCTCAAAACGACTGATGTAAATTTGCAACGAAGCGCATACCGAGCACACGCTTCCTCTGGTTCACTCAACGATACCGAACGGACGTCCATCTGGGGAACGCAGAGGAAAAAAACGCGCGGAGGTTCCACTCGCGGCATCACGCGCTATCTGTATATTAAAGTCACGAGTTTATATAGTTATGAACTTAAAGAACTTAATCAGTAAAACTATGAGCTAAAAATACCGTTAAACGTTACGAGTATTATCAGGTAATTCGCTTGCTGTGTGATCATGATGCGTCCACTCGCGTGCATCGTTAGACACTTTTATCAAACACACCGACGACATCACGTCCGTTCCACTTTTATCTGGCGACACGCTTTTGCAAATAAAAAAAACGCGCGATTCGCAAGTGTCCACCCCCCCCCCCCCGCACTCCGTTGCGGTCTCGTCCATGTACTATGATCTCCACACGCACAAATTCTAACGGTTTTCAGGTACCTGACCGACACGTACGAAGAAACGTAGGTACCTTCGCGAGTCTTACGATTGCTACATATGCGCATTTAAATCGATACGAGTGTACAAGGTGAAGAAACATTCGGTATATAACGGAGAGAAAAACTCGAGATATCGGCCAGTTGTTTTTAGGTGCGCTTTCTGCATTCAAACGAGGCAAATTATATGCTATTCCTTTAGAAAGAAATTAAAGAGAGAAAAAAGGTATTAAGAGCATAATTAAAAAGAGCAGACCCATTGTCACTAAATTGTTTCTTTTTCAACAATATGTACAGTTTGCTTATTTTAATGTTATATTTGACAAAATCGAGCTGCTCTGCACACAAGTTTAACGGATATCCCTCAAAGGGTAAAACGTACTTGGAGCGCAAATAAATGGTTGAAAATAAATTGTAATCTCGATAAAAATATCAGTCGTAATAAGGTTCGTGCTACTTCTCAGGCTTAAAAAGGACTGCTTGTCTTATTATCGTCTCAATGTCGGCCGTGAACATAATTAGCTATACGCTACATTATGATTTTAGCGTTAACATCGCCTGGGATATCGACCAAACGTTTGCCGCATGGAAACTCTAATCTCGGAAGTATCCAAGTAATACTTCGAAATGCCCGTGAGCATTTAGTTATAGCGTTTGTATCGAAAAACTTGAAAGACTTTACTGAAAATATATGAATTATTTGATTATCTACAACCTGCAGCCTCCATCTTTGAAAATATTGGTGTTCCACGCGGCAATAAACTGGGCGAGATGCGAAAAAAAGATCATATGTAATTATCACTCGACATCTCGGTTACGTCTCTGGAATTCGTACTATGTTATTTCTGCAATCATACACACATCGAGCAATACCTACACGATATCATCACCGTGAAAGGCACAGTCTACACACATCGGTAATCTATGGGGAAAAAAAGATAATTTAATTGTTTTTATGGATTAAGAACAAGTTGTCTGTGATCTACAATAATTAAAAGAATATTTAATAAGTATTAACAGATAAAAATATAATTGAAATAATATCGATAATGTTAAACGATGAAGGAAAGAAGTAACCGAAGGGCGATCGGATTTTATTGGTACAAGTTGAGCGCAGGTTTCTCGTGGCATTGGTTGAGCAATATGATAGTAAGAGGAATAAAATATCGCATAAAAAATTAGGATCACCGCAAAGGAATTCTAGAAGAAAAAGAGGTATATATTATATAAATTATAACAAATAGAGACTTATACGATAGAGCACGCAACG